GAAAGGGGTGCCTCCATGGGCCCATGCTCAGGCATCCCTTCCCCCAGATGGGTATAGTATAGAATAGAGTTTATTCAGGGCATGGGGAGGGGAGTTGAGAGGGTAGTAGAGACAGAGAAAGGGAGGGATGGAGGGGAGAAAGAGAGAGAGAGGGAGAAAGAGAGAGAGAGAGAGAGAGAGAGAGAGAGAGAGAGAGAGAGGAGAATAAGGAGGCGGAGGAGGAGGAGGAGGAGGAGGAGGAGGAGGAGGAGAGGTCTGTCATGAGCATGTGGAGAGAGAGAGGGGAGGGGAATGGGGAGAGAGGGGGGAAGGAACTAGAGGATAGAGTGAGAGCAAGAAGGCAAGAGCAAAAGAAAGCGGAGGGGGCAAGCAGCCCCTTTTATAATGAGTCAGGCATACTGGGCTGTTACCAGGTTACTGTGGGGTGGAGCTTAGACAAAATGCTAATAACGACTACAATGAAACTGTGATATTTAGAATTCTTAATTCAAATGTAACAATAGTTGTCACTGATAATAATAAACAAGCATTTAAACAACAAAAGTTTTCATAATTCTGAAAGAAGTATACATGATGAAGAGATTCTAAGGTCTCTGTACTCATATTGGTCTTTTTATGTGACTAAGTCTCTTTATGACCAACTCTTTCAATCTCTTTTCTATGAGATCTTCTTCCTGGAATCAAGGTTTTATCATCATACTTATAAAATTCGAATCTTATATAGGTTGCAGTTGAAGGGCTAGGAGCAGAACAGAGAAGGAAATGAGGGTGGCTAGATTTGACAGTAGAATGCTTTGTGCTGGTGTTGAGAATGATCAAGGGTGGTTTGCTAGAGGCAGGAAAGAGATAAATTGAAGCTATGGCAAGGAGAAGGAAGAGCAGCAGACTAGATAAAGCCACAGATTAATGGTATATATATATCACTCTTTTATCTTTCTAAAGTAATGCACATCTGTATGTCATTGTTAATATTATTATTAATATGAGCTCTACATCTAAGGAAGCAAGAATAATAAGCTGCTGTAGCGAATTCTAAAGAAAACGTTGTGGCTCTGCTGTGTCTAGAACATTGATGTTCCCCCAGAATCATTACATGAAACAAAATACCCAGGATAATGGCAATGAGACACAGTTTTAAGGGGACACTGAAGGTGGAACCCGATGAATGCCATAAGAGGCATTCAAGAGGCCAAAGGAAGCTTACTGTTCTCTTTCACTACACGAGAAGACAGAAGGTTCTAACAAATCCTCAATGGGTACTCTCAGATTCAAGTTTCTGTTGTTTTAAAGTTACCAGCTCATAATATCTTGTTATAGTAATGCAAAGGAATCAAGAAAGGAAAACGTTTCTTCTTTACTAGTTCAGAGGTAGGCAAGCTGTCCAAGGTCCTAGATTGAGTCTCGTGTATACCACTGCTCTCAGTATGTGATCCTATGCTTGCTGTCACAGTTGCATCTTGCCTTCTGGCTCATAGCAAGGATGGAATAGAAAAGCAGGAGCTACACAATTTCTTTTGAAGATTGTGAGGAGTTTGCCACATCACTCTGAACACATATCACAGGTCAGAATTTACTCATGTAATCATGTTTAAAACTGTTAATGGGGGCTGGGAATTATGTTCTCTGTCAAAGACTACTTCTGTGTCCTTCTAAAACTATGGTGATGAAGTTTATTACTAAAAGGAAAAATAAAAAAGCAAGTACTGGAATTGACAGAAAAAGCATACCAATTTCAGCTTGCCAAGTCTTGCTGACTGATTTATAAAAGTTATCTCATATTTTAATGTGTGTGTTATTTGTGTCCTGAAATCCTGATTATTATACTTACTTTTATATTTTACTATTTTGTCATTTTACTATGACAAACTGAGAGTACGTTTAACTTTAAAGTGAATTTTATAATGAGTGCCACACAATTTTACTGGAGCTTCATGAAAACACAGTAATTTGGCTTTTAAAGTATTTACTACAGATTTTACTATCAATCTTGTAAGTTTAGTATCTCCTTATTTTTATTCACAAGCATCCAATATCTGAATATCTTTTCATATTAGTTTTTATTTTTGCCAAGTAATATTGATTTAAATTTAATGTGAATGAGCAATAATTTGACAAAATTCCAAAATGAAACTTAAATAAGAGTCTGGAACTCAAGTCAACATGAAACAAATCTGTATGGATCTTTCTTGATCTAAAATGTAAATCTTCCAAAACATGGCTGAACTCCTAGAACACGTTTGGTCTCTCTTCTGTCACTGGAAATCTGGTTCACTTCATACCTTAGGATTGAATGTGGTACTCTCCATAGTCACTTTCAGAGTGGGTTTAGAGTTGATACTGGTTGCATGGTTAATTATGATAGCTAGGGCTCTTTAGAATTCTGTTAATCTTCTCTGTCCTAGATAAGAATGAGTCTTTTTTGATATTCATTCAACAATGTTACATTTTATTTCAAATGAATAATTAATAATGTATTAGTAGATATAGTGAAGAATTTTTAGATCTTCAAAAATATATTTCTTTTAAACCAAAACAGTACCTAGTATAATAAATTCTCAGTAAGAGTGGAGCAAAGAAATAAGTTTTCCTCCTATAAGTAACAAAGGAGACCATAGATATCTTTATTTTAGTCTTTATTCTTTATTTTATTTTAAATTACTTTATTTTAGTCTTAAATTACTTACTATATGGAAATATTTTTCTTTCATAATTCAGAGGAGATAGTAGAATTTGTAATTTCAAGAAATCTTGATTTGAGAAATACTATTTATACAAAGTTACCATAAATTTTATTAATTACCCAATTGTTATTCTATCTTTGCGCAAATAACTCAATTTTTCCAGTACCTTACAGTTGGTGAGTTTTCAGGACCCTGATAAACAATGCTTTTTACTTGATTATTTCTCTGGCTTTTGTCCAATGACACTTTATGGGATATTTTGAAACTTCAGGAAGACACTAAAGAATATTATAGAAACAGCATAAAATTGATTTATGCAAAATTAAATCTAATTGCTTGCTGTTGGTTATCTCATTCTTCTTCCTTTAAAAAAATAATTCCACTCTTCATTTTTCCCCCAGTCTTCTTCATAAGTGATTTGGCAGTATATGCTTGTGTTCCCTTTTTCTGTCTCCCAAACAATTTTAGACTGTGCTTAATCTTAACAATTGATTTAAACTGTAGTACGAGTTTATTTTTGTCACATAAAAGCATTGGCATTTGGCCTCCTAATTTCTTATCTTTAGTAGCGTTTACTCATCTTAAATTCTTGGTCTATGTTAGTGTAAAATTTATTAATGTTACCTCAAAAATATTTGTAACAAATTTTAGCATTTGGAAATACTTTGTAATTATCAGAACACTAGGGAATATGGAAGATGCTTATTATTTTTTATGGACAACAATAATAAAGAGATTTATTTTATAAGCTAGGCTCTTCAAACAATCTCCAAATCCATAAAGATTTATCTATTACACACTTACTACTGAAATGATAGTTTGATGGTAAAGGTAGTAGTTTTAATTTTTTCAAACAAATAACCTGGAATTTCTAAGCTAACAGCTAAAGATAGGGTTAACTCTTTAATGCTAGTTTAATGCATAACTTTAACATACTTAAAGGAGAGTGAGAGTGGTCAGTTTCTCTGGTCCTAAAGCCTCAGGTCAAACGTAGGACTTGGCACCAACTCTTATATTCTTAGTAGGAACACTGCTGTTTGTTGTATTGTTCTTTGTATCAGTCTGTACTGTCTTGTACATAATACTGTTGATTCCCTAAAAAACAAACAAACAAACAACAACAGCTCTGCCCAAAATCCTTAGATTTTCTGTGTAAATAGAATACTGAATTAGATTGTGCCCACTTTGTTGGAAGATACTGTAGTCTGTGTGATAGGAATAAAGAACTCAAAAGAGTGAGTTTGATGCTTATTCAATTAGCAGGCAAAAATAAGCCACTGGTTAGATCATGAGCTAATCAGAATACTTTCTGTCCAGAAAAGTATTTCAAGGGAATGGACTGTCTAGAAAAGGCATAAATATTGTCCTGTACACATGACCCTCCCCACTAGAATATGCTTTTCCATCTAGAATTTTGTGCTTGTCTTTTTACTAGACTGTTTCTAGAAATGTGTATTTACTATCCACATGTCTTATATTTTCCCATGAGCATGGTAAGTGGGAGTCACATCCCAGAAAAGAAAGGGACCTGAGTTTTCCTTAATATCTAATAAGAGTTCATGCTACTTATGAAGAGTCGGTTTTGGTTGTGTGCAAAGGCATTACACTCCTCCTCTATATATTTTCTAAGGTTTACTCATAATTGCTAGTTGTAATTTTAAAATTCGCTTTTAGCAGAAAGATATGAGGCTGGCTCTAAGAGCCAGCAGCAGGCCTATGAGCTGGGCAAGGAGGAAGAGGGTCTCTGGGGTTGGGCTGGAGCAGGGCTGGGGTTGGTGGAGGGGAGCGCTTCCGAGGGGTGGCACACACTGCAGTGACAGTCCCTCCCAAGGCTGGTTGAGGCACCTCACTGGTGACGGGTCTGAAAGCACGTGGCTACGTCATGGAAAGCCAGTCTTTTCAATGCAAACTTCAACTCCTCCTCCTCCCTCTAATGCCTGTAACTCACAGCCGAGGCTGGGCGAGGAATCTGGAGGGGAGATTTTCCTCATGCTTACGGTGGCTGGAGACTGGAAGGAAGAGTGTAGGGAAGGAGGAAGGAGATTTGTGGCGCTTTCTACCTACTACAAGACTGAAAAGGGGAGGGGGCACCTACATTACATCTTCTCTTCGTGATTGAGAACTGCAGGTTCAGCCTGATCCTACGGAGCTCTGGCGATTGCTTATTTAAAAAAAAAGAAAGAAAGAAAGAAAGAAAAAATTGACCGCGGGAGAAGGAAGGCTCAGTCTTTGGCAGCCAGACTCATCTCGGAGGTGGTATTGGTGTGTGTGTGTGTGGTGGTGGTGCTTTATTTTTTCTTTCTTTTTTCTTTCTTTTTATTTTTCTTTCTTTCTTTCTTTTTTCTTTTTTCCCCCTTCTCTCCTAGGGGCTACACAATGGCAGTCTTCTCTCGCTAAGATGAATCCGGCTTGCCTTCTGCAGATCCGCCCATCCTCAGTTTCATTTAGTAAAAGGCTATGATTTTCTCTTTGGGGATCTTTTGTGCATTACTGTTCTCCCTGGTTAGTTCTGGTCTCGGTTGGGATTTCTTTGCTTTTTTCTGTTTGGCTTCATGTGAAAAAGGATTTTTTTCTCTCCAACCCTTTGGTCATGATCCAGTGGTGATCAAGAGGGGATAAATCATTCACCCTGGCCGAGAAAAAACAATCGCTGAGAAGTCTCAAAGAGATATACCACGTGAGGGGAAAAAACTGGGAGAAGATCCGGAATATTAACGTTTTTCCTATGGTAAAACCGGTGCCCCTCTTCAGGAGAACTGATTTCAAGTTATTATTATGCAACCACAAGGGCCTCTTCTTTCTCAGGGTGTCTAAGCTGCTGGGTTGCTTTTCGCCCAAATCAATGTGGTTTCTTTGGAACATTTTCAGCAAAGGAACGCATATGCTGCAGTGTCTTTGTGGCAAGAGTCTTAAGAAAAACAAGAACCCAACTGGTAAGCAAAGCATGCATCATATTCTGTTTTTCCTGGTAATATCCGTCTGTTGCTCACGGAGCTAGGTCTGCAGTTTTGCTATGCAGGAGGCCAGGGAACATGCAAGGAACCCGGACAGTGTTGCATACAGAGGTGTTGCATGAATAAACAAGTAGCCACCGCCGGATCTGCGTCCTCCCGACCCGAAAACCGTGATCAACAGCTCTTAGCTGTGACACAATTCATCATTAGGAGGGAGGAGGAAACTTTTTTTATCCCCCCACTAAGTGGATGTCTGGTGGAATATCGAAGGGCTTATAGCTTATGGCTGTGCCAGGAGAAAGAACCAAGAGCTCGCCTTACTTCTGCTCCTCCAGGGACACAGCTTTAGACTTTCTGATTAGCTTGCACAATATTCGCCACCCCATCACCTTTAGCAAAGTAAAAGCGCCCCCTCTCTCACGGCCTGGATCCTCCGTCAGCCCCCGCCTCCCTCCCCCGTCTAGCTCTGGGTGCTATTAACTCATTCCCTAGTCTGCCTCTGACACATCAGCCTGAGAACACTGAACACCGGAGCAGGGCTTGTGCCTGGAGGAACCAGGATCCAGAGGACAAGCCTAACCCCTCTAGTATATGCCATTTAAGTCCCTTCTTTAAAAAACCGGCATGGAAACCTTATGTATGGGTCCCACACTATGTGTGTGTGGACCAACAGAGGGTCCCTGCCTTATGCCTCCTGGCGATCATGCGCCCTATTCCAAAGGGCTTCAACCAGAGAAACTTGCAGTATATTACATAAGAAATGCAAATGCAGGTGATTCGGGGAGCCGGGTCCCAGGGGTTTACTTTCCAGTGTCTATCTAGTCTGAGGCATTTGGGAGCAGCCAAGTGGGCGAGCAACCCTCAGGCAGTCAGGCCGGAGGGCTGCCTGGTGGTGGCAGCTGTGGCAAAGGAGCCTGGGTACAGCCTTTCTTCAAATCATTCCCGCTGTCAGTCAGGAGTGTGCATTATCCCCTGGCTGGGATACGGTGGGAAAAGACCTGGAGCGGTTTTGTGTCTGGAGTTATGCTGGAGGGGCGGGGGATCCGCTGTCCTGCAGTGACAGCGGGCGATGGAGGCTGCTGAAGCTAGCACTGCGGAGCACTAGATCATAGCTCTCCGCGGCCGCCCTGACACCTGGAGCTCACAGCCGGCCACGGTATCCAGAACTCCCACGACTGGGCAGCAAGTGGCTGCTGTCTCCCAGCCTCTGAACACAGCAAATGTAACAGCGCCTGGATGATGCGCTTGGTGGGGGCTGCAGTCCGTGGCTGCAGGGAGAATAGAGGAGCGTGGGTGGGCGGGGATGGAGGCAGTGGGTGTGGAGGTCGAGGATGCTTTGCGGCCACCACTTCTGCAGCAAAAAACAAGGTGCCTGCGAGTTGTTAAGAGTGCTGAAAAGGGCAGATGTTCCTGTGCTCAGACCAAGGGAAGTTGCCCCTAGCTGGGCCGCTTAGGGGACTGTGGAGGCTCTGGGAGGAGCTAGCTATTGGCTTCCAGGAGGACTCCCCACTGCAGTGGAATTGTTGCCTCTGTCCTACAACCCTATTCCCTGTGTTCTAAATCCACTCCTTGCCTACCAACCTCCGTCACTGTCCCCTGTCTTTTTACCCTTCTTTTCTTTAACTGCTCAGCATTTAGCAACTCTGAAACGATGTTCCCATCCTGAGATTTGTCCAAGGGGACAGCAGATTGAGGTGTAATCTTACCTTGGCATTACTGATTTAGCCCCGAGGTGTACTCCCTGCCATTTGGCATCTAGCCTGACACCAACTATGCCTGGTTCAAATAATACCCAATTACATCTGCAGCAATGGTTCATGGCCTGGACATGAAATAGTTGTCTGCAGGACTTCCCAAAGTGGGACAGGTCAAAGGCTGTAGTTACAAGGGAGGGGCTACTACTTCACACAGTAAAAATAGTAGCCTTTTGAAGCGCTCTTGTGTTCTGTGAAAAGATTTAGTTCTCTTCTGAGAACGGAACACAGTAAAAAGTCTTTCTTTTTTGAGACTTGGCCATTTGTCTAGGGACCCCAAACTCAGCCCTTCCATAATATTGGGGAATGGGAAATAACTCAGAGGCAGAGAAACAGTAAGCTTGTTTTCAAGACCTTTATATTTTTATTGTAAATAATTTTATTGGAAATGCTGACTACCCCTGCTCAGTTCAATATCTTTTTATTATTAGACTTGCCCCTTCCCATTCACTTTCATCTCTCTAGGATAGTTTCCTTTTTCCAAAGTGCTTTGGAAGTCGTTAAACAAATGATTATTTATTTTAGGGAGCAATTTATTTTGCAGCTTATATGTGCTAATGTACTTGAGGGGTGAAGTGGAGGGGTTAACCCACGATGTGTCTGACAAAATAGACGACTATTATAAAAAGATAGTTAAGGCTCTGATTGCCAGGGATTTGAGTCTAAACTGGAACTCAGAGCATTTAGGGGAAAAAAGTGTTAAATTGTGCAGCTCACTTTCAAAAGACTGGACTCAAACCCATGCCTGCCATTTCCTTTGAATATTGTACTTGGTGAGGTCTATTCTCCTGCTATTAACATGAAGCCTAGAATCATTTGCAACTTTTTGATCCCAAGATAGTAGTACAGCTAAGAATTTAATTGGGTAATTAAAATAAAACAAGGACCAAAATCCTCTTAACTGTTAAAAACAAAAAGAACAGATTGACTACCACCTATTATGTTATCTTAAATCTACAAGGAAGACAATTAACTTGTTTCAAACTAAAAAGCTTGACAGAATGCTGCTAACCACTAGGGAATTTGTTGCAAAGCATTCCTTAATATTTCAGAGGCAGATTTTAGGTTGGTTCTTCTTCCCAATATTTGCAAGTTTTGAAATAATTTACTGATTATTTTCAGCTTTGAAATCCTCAACAATTGTGGGGAGTTGGGCTAAAGATTCCTGAGAATTTTAGATGTGTGGATTTAAAGGTGAAATTTATTCATCAACTCAGAACTTACTAATCAGCTCCATGGTATTACACTGTGCTATGTGATAATCTAGTGAGAAAAGAATGTGCAGTATGCATTTGGGTTACATTAAAAAAAACAAAACACAATAGCTTAAACTTTTTTGAATATAAAGTAAATCTACTTTATATTCCATATGAAATACCATGAAAATACCTAGTATTTTATAGCACAGTGATTATCAGGGAACACATTTGGATGTATACATGTGCTCAAATGTCCCACTTTCTGTTATTTTCCTAGCACAGCAATAGCTGTGCATTTAGAAGGAATGTTACCTGCTGTAGCTTTTGCTGTGAGTATGAGTCATGCAAGGTGACTGTATTTTAGGCAAATCATTAAGTAGGAATAATAAGTACAAGGTACTTTTTTTTTTTTGGCCTGGAGGAGGCCTGTTATGTTTTCTTGAACCAGAATAATAGTTTAGAATGACCAATGTGTATATCAGGCTTGTTTAGAAAATAAACTAGGCCACTGTTCTTGAAGCAAAGAGTGATAAAGTAATAAATATGGTTGATAAGTACTAAGGTTGTGTCGTTGCTGTCTGTCCAGATTTGTAAAACCAGTAAAGGAGTCAGAGACTCTTTCACATGTTGCATCCAATAACACAAGATCCCCAAGCCTCCTTATCAATTTTGGAAGTTTTGGAAAACTCAGATTTTAAGATACATTACAATGTGTGAAAGTCTTCTTTAGTACAGGTGTCTGTGGTGGGAGAATATGTAGGAAGCAGATTACCTAGACATAGCTTCACAGAGTGCACTGGGAACATTCCATAGACTCATTGCCTTTGGTGTTCCCTTTTCTAAACTCAGCCTCATCTACTGAGTAACTTAGCCACAGAACCAGGAGAGGCTGATAGCAGTCATTAGCACCTTCTGTTTCCTACTGGCATTGATATCTTTAAGCCCCACTATTTTTTTGTTTTTGTTTACTAATTGTTTTAGGTCCCAAATACCTGGTATTCTAGGGCAATTCAGTTACATATACATTTTAAAATGTTACCTGCATATAGGGATGTCACATCCTTTTGAAGTGAGAAAATAGGGAGATTAGGAAGGAAATATGAGTAAGCACCCCCTTTCCCCTTCTTCTCAGCCTGTAGTCTTATCCTGGGGTCCCGTAGAGCTAGGTCAGCTACAAATTGGCAATTCTAAACACCAGGTGGGCAGAAAATGAAAACATCAAATTCAGATAGCACGACTGGAACAGGAAACAGGTGGAAGGTTCTTCTTGTAATATTTTAAAACTGAATTGGGTCTGGAGTCTGTCCAGAAAGTTCTAGTTATTGAGGTAAAGTGAGTTATATAGAATAATTCCACTTTATGAACCAAAGGTGGCATTTTTTAGCTAGGCTAAGTTATGAATTTCTAGAAGAGTGGATTTTTTCTTTTCTGTAGGTTGACATCCAAGTTAACAAGTATAAAGTCAATGCTTAATAAACTCACCTTGAACAATGTAGATTATGTTCAAATGATGCATTACTATTTGAATGTGCTAAAGCTAACTCTATACTGTGCTTCACATTTTCTACAGTGGACTTATTCCTTTATAATGTTTGGATCCAGCTTTCCATGCTTTAGCAAGACATACATTGGAAACTTTGGGTTTTCATACAAATGGTAACAAGGACAACCAATGTTTTTACTCTTTTATATAGTTTGGAATCCTACTTAATTCATACTGACTAATAAGTTTTATACAAATACCGTGTGTATGTATCAAAATTGATACATTTATTCCAAATAGTTTCTCATGCCTTAGAGGGAAACAGTTGAGACACTTGAACAGTGTGGTAGATATTTTGCCTCTGTGAAGTTTAAACCAGTCATTGCATTATGCATAGGGTTGAAAAGCAAACAAGCATACACCATTGAGACCAACTTAGCCATACCCTCGGGTCGATGTGGGTTAGAGACAGATCTACTCACTCATCTACCTGCTAATACTTAGTCTACACATTTTTCCTTAGATTTTTAGTTAGTGCACCAT